CTTAAAAGTACTGATTACTAGAGACAGGGCTTTAAGGTACCTTTTTATATTTTGCCTTTCGTCCTTTTAGCTTTAGCTAGTCCGGTCCCTATAAGTCATTACAAAATTACAAAACATCCTTTTAGAGCTAGGATATGCATAATACATTAAGTAACAATAAAATCCTAATTAATGTGCATACAACAAATATATGTTTTTGACAGGTGAAAGCTGTGTAAACTTTGTATAAAAGCGAATAGATAAAGCGCAAACAAACATGTGTTAAAATAATTAAAATACGTATATGTATACGATCAGTGGCGTAACAAGACAACGTGAGGCCCTGGGGAGCAAGTAAACTAAAAAAAATAGAATTTGGACAATTTGATTTTTTAAATTTGGGACCCCTACTAACATTGTTAATATAAATAAGATGACAATAAATATCCATGAGTTTGACCCATATATTCTCATAAAAATATCTATCACAAGGGTGCGTCCTTGAAAAAGCTATAAAATAATTACTGGACCAAATAAATAAGGGACGTCAAGCGTTTTAAATGGCAGGACAAATATTTCAATTAAGTTAAATCATTTCATCAGGAGAAGGGATTCTGTGGAATACCGAATCCAATTTGGCAGGGTCCTGCGGATCATGTAGGCAGTTATTACGCTGACATCGGCTTTGCAAAATGGCGGCATCCACCAAACCTGCAAGAATTTAATGTGTGAAATGTGGAAAACAGTGGCGGGGATACTGAAATTTCAATAAAAATATTGACATTATATTGATGATACATTGTCAATTATATAATTTTAAAGTTTTTTTTAGGTATTTATACTTCTTACATTCTCACTGTCAAAAACTGCTTCTATTTCGGATATGAACGGTTGTTAGTCCATTTTCACAGGATAAATTTTTGAAATATACCTACGGCCATTTTGACCGCCGATAATACAGATTCCCCAGTTGGAAATTCTTACATCAATGTTTGGCCTTAACAAATATTTCATTTAAATTATTTTTTAAATAATAATAAGTATTTGTTTTAGAAATACTGTGGTAAGCAAATTGTTTATAAAATTTTCTAGACACTCATTTTATTACCCTTTCATAAAATGTTATTTAACAAAAATAGTAATTTTATTAATTAGATTACTTCCCTCATTATAATATGAACCAATCAAAAGCCTTGAATTTTCGAATAAATTTCGTTTATATAAGCGATTAAATCACTAGAACTATTTAACAGCGATTAAATTTTAGCCACCATATTGGATTTTTTTTTACGATTTTATGGTGTTATTTACAATTTTTAACAAACATTTTTTAAAAAACAATAAAAAATAAGTTATCTAGTTTACGAAATATCAATTATTACTTATTATATACCTTAAATTAATGGAATTTTCTTTAAAAAAATATTTATAAATTTTGACACATACGTCAGATTTTATGAATTGTCAAATAGTTTCCTTTAATTCGAGAAATAATCTAGACGTATATCACTCAACCTATAAATTTAATCTGTCAAACTATGCTCAGTAAGTTTTTTATTTGATTTTTCTTTTTGGAAAATAGTTTCATGCAAAATAATTAAAAATAAAACCCCTCGACCGCTACGCGGTCTCGTGATTTTATTAAATTATTTTGCATTCAACATTTTCCAACAAAAACAAAACAAAAAAGTACTGAGCCTAGTTTAACCGATTAAATGTGATATAATATATGATAAAAAAATCGCCGCGGCGGGCAAATATATAATAATCGTCGCAACAAACATTATACATAGACACTTCCTACATTCAAATGACATTTGATTTGATCATTAAATAACATTTGATTTAATCATTAATATTATTTATTAGTATTATTAAATGAAATTATATATTCGTGATAAAAAATACGACTGTACTGCCTTGATACATAAATAATAAATTAATTGACATAAAATCTGTGGTTATGGTAATTAAACAAAATTGTACTAAATTCTTTAATAAAATTAAAAAAGTATATTATTAAATCTTGGGAAATTAATCAATTCGGATTACCACGAATATGAAACAGTATAAGTAACTCTAAATAAAAAACTATTATTTTAATTTCCAAGATTTAACATTTTTAATTTTAGCTCCCTTATGCCCAATTTAAATTCGTGACTAAAATGGCATTTATCAAAATTGATACATAGTTTTCAAAATAGATAATAATTAATATATGAAAAAATCTAGTTGTTCTCAAAATCCATCAAAAACATTTTTAGGTAGACTTAACCCACTCATTAAAATACAAGCAAAATGCCTTTCAAAATTATAAGTGTAAAATAGTAAATAGACTTTTCTATTTTTTCGTGCAGAAAAATTACTTTTCATGTGCAGAAATAATATTTTTTCTGCAACCAAGGGAGCCTCGCAATTTTCTAAATATAAACCTTTAAACTTTAAAAGCTTATCTAATCTTAGTTGATTGAAAGTTGGTACCTTTTACATGCCAGTTTGTCTCTTTTTATGTTTGTTGTATGGTGAGAAAAAATAAGAAACCCTGGTGTCATTTTCCAATTTTAAAATAAAAATACAAAAACCTTAAAAAATTAAAATATTTTCTGATTAGGCTGCCACTGGAGCTCCAAAAGACACGACAAGCGACGAACTTGGGAAGACGTTTGCGCCAACAGAGTAGACTACTAAAGTACTAAAGATTCTGTATTCTACAGACTTACTTCGAGTGTGTAAGTTCGTGATAAGGCTGCGATGCAATTAACGTTTCCCGTCCCCGTGCAGCTTCTAAAAATTGCCGTAATTTTAAATAATTTCGGCCCAAGGAGCCGAGATTATCAAATTAAATAATAGTTCGTGTACTGTTTTACAACGTATACTACAATAAAATTATATACTAATATTGCTTGTAGTAACAGATAAGCCCTGTTTTATTATACTACCTTGTAAAGCTTCAGACACCTTACAAAGGAAATTAGTTTGCTTTAAGTAATTTAATTCTGACTAAGATTTTGTATTAACGTTTTAAACTTGTTAACTTAGTTTTAAATAGAAGGAGTGGTTATTATTTAAAAATAGGATTTTAAACGACTTTTAATCAATATTTCTAAAAGCAGTTTGCTGTTTTCGCATTTTTATCATAAAAATTATAAAAATATTATTGTTTCAAAAATGGCGGATGCGCCGGGATTACTGCATGCTTAATTGGGGTATTTGTCGTAAAAATAAATCCCCAACAAATAATTGGCTTATATGTACAAAAATGACTGAAATTAAAAGTTTCTATTCTGCGTCGCGTTGACCTTTTATAAAATGGCCAATAGCCCTACTAAACCATTATAAATTTAAAAAAAGAAAACTAAAAAAAAAGAAAGGAACTATTAAAGCAATCTTAACCCAAAGTTCGTTAAAGTAATTTTTGAAATATCAGTTTCTTTGGATGTTAATGTTACACTGTAACTTTTTGATTTTCCTTTATCGATATGTTTCTTTACCATATTATTCTTTGACCTCGTCCAATATACAGGGTGTTATGTAATTAATGTTATATATTAAAATACTGAATACCTTTTTACATAAGGAGTAAAGGAAAGATATTTGAAAAATAATTTTTCCAAAGATAAAGGAAAAATATGCAATAGAAGTTTTTTTTTATATTTTTATGATTCGCCACTGGTTACACATTTGGTTTATCTCTGCACACTTGTGTTCTGTGAGTACATAGATATCAACCTACAAAGTAGCTGCGCGTTGCCAGATGTAAAAAATTGTTACAAAAAATTTTTTTTGCAAAAAATAAATAAAAAATCAATAGATACAAAAGTTTTATGCCCTTAAAGCTCTAATACCCTTCTGTATTTATTTACTCATCCAGCTATTAGCTTAAGCAATGATTAGAAAATTTAGTACATATTTTTAAAAATCCATAACCACAAAATTAATTTTTTCATCAGTTTTTTTCTTTCTGTTTACTCAGATGAAATTGGGACCAGTTCACAGGTTAAACTTTAAACATTTAATTTGTGTAATAAATCCAAAACCACTTTCCTTAGTTAAGATATTTACAATTTGAGCACATAACCTAACATTTTAAAAAAATTCACTAGATTCTGTCATAAAAGTTGGCAGATTTTGTTTGAATTTACCTTCAGTGCAAAAATGACATAACCAAAAATTAATAAAAACGCCAAAATGACAATTTGAATTGTTAATTTTGTCATTTTTGTAATTAAGCTAAATTTATACAATGTTTGTCAACTTTTTTGACAGATTTTGGAAACACTGTTGTTACCAACCATAACATAATAAATTAAATTAGGCAACCAGATTAGCCTAAAGTTCCTAGTCGATCAGTGGCGTACTTTTTGGTAGGATAAAGGTTATTATAAATTATTTTTAGACTTTGGAATTTAGAAAAAAAGTTTAAGGTGCTTCATTATGGACCCTAAGGAACAACCCATTTTAATATATAACATTAATTACATAACACCCTCAGATTTAATTTTTAGGACAGAGGGTTGGTTTTTCACACTGTCCTTATTGTCCTCATTGTTCATATTGTCTCTCAAAAATTTAAAAATATTTTTCTTTGGTAATGTTAACGGATTTAAGCGACTTACCTGTTGTTCATTAACAAATTATTAACAATGGTAAATGCGTTAAAAAATTAAATTTTACTGCCATTTATATCAAATTGAATGCTAAGTTGCCAATGTGTGATGAATCAAACCCTTTGAAAAGAAATATTGTTTCTATAATTAAAATATTTTTGAAAAGTTGTTTGTTTTATACTATTACTATGTCAGTAAATTTGTTTTTAGAAATCATGGCAACGCTGTATACAGTGTAAGAGAGCTTCGTTATATCAAATATCCAACGGATTGGTCTTCAAATTTGGGCCTGTATAAATATAACCATAATTTTAGGCGTCGTCATTGGTCTAAAATAAATCCTATTCAACTCAACGCTTTATTCTTAAATGGAATAATTATTACTTTACGGACATGGCAAATAAAATCCTTTGATAGTAAAAATACATGTATTTATTAAACTATTAAACATAAGCTAATAATATAAACGCATAATAAATTAACAAAAATATAAAAGCACCAGTAGAGTTAAGGGTTTGATATTAATACAAACAACGATGAAACTTATTTACATATGTTTAACAATGCGTATATTACTTCATAGGAATTTTTGAAAGCATTACATTCATTAAAATAAATATCGATATTTAACGTTATTGTCTAATAAAAGCATTTATTAAATAGTATGGCACAAAAGTTTACCTTATTTACGTATTTGCTAGCAAACCAAAATATTTAAATTAACGATGGTAATTATGTAGGTATAAAAATATTAGCGACTTATTTACAGTTCCTCTTTGGAAGTTATTATTAGTGTTTTGCCTTTTAAATTTTTAAAATGTGTGAGTAATATATAATTTATAATTTTTGGCACAAATTAATGGTATTCATGAACTTGGCATTCCATATTCGAATCAATATAATAGGCCAACCTTTAAATTGAATTTAATCCATTTCAGTTATTTATAATTTATTTATGCACAAATCAATGTAAAAAATCTCAAACGTTAAACCTATCTTTCCCAGGGTAATTTGGAAATGCTGAATGAAAATTTGTTATATGAATTTATATTACTCAAACATTAAACATAATTAAATCTTAATATACTCTAAGGCAAATTGGTCCGTAATTTTTTACTCTACAGGGTTGTCCAAATTATCATTATTTTCCGAATATTTTTTTTAATTGTAATAAAAACAGCAATTATATTTTGCAAAACTCTAAAAAGGAACTAAATCAATTTAAATTTACTATATTAAAATTTAAAAATGAAAGGGATACTTTAGACCACCCTGTATAAGGCAAACACTATCGTTTTTAGTCCCAAACTATGGGTCATTCGTCCCATAGACACATCTGTTTCTGCGCTACGTAGTAAGCGAACAAGTGACACGTTCTACAAGTCTTGATACCGCAACGATAACTCATCACTGAATTTTTTGTGGGTCCTTTGCCTTTGCAGTACTTTAAACCGCAAGGGTACCAGCCTATGCACAGTTCCAAGTGGCACTGACACTGCGTCAACATGTTTTTGGTGTCTGTGCAGCTGGGTAGGGATGAGGTGTCTTCTATCCGAAGGTCGTTGCTCAAGAAAAGGTTGGGGGTCGATGGAAATGCTTTAATAGCTGTCAAGTATGACGTTTCTGAGATGCCTGAAACAAAGAAAGTCCTGATATAATGAGCAACATAGGTAATAATATTTAGGCTATAGGAAAAATCATTGTATGCCTATTCCCGAGTTCTTTTACGACTTTAAATATATTAAGTGTAAACCAATATATAAATTATAAAACTTGTGCGTACTACAAAAAGTGTTTTTGTTAATGGGCTAAAATTATTTAACACTTTACCAACTGAAATTAAAAACTGTGATACTTTAATTAGTTTTAAGAAATATATTCTATCTTATGTAAAAGAAAAAATTGACCTGTGATATTTCTGATGTTATTACTAATATTTTTATATATATAATGATGAGAAATTGTAAATAGCTTATGCTAATAATAAAGATATATTTATTTGATATATTTATTTAATATTTATTAAATAAGTTAATATCATTTGGGCCTGGATTCTACGACACAGGGTAGTGACATGAACTTTTTTACAGTATAAAATTTAAATTTTCGTCAAGAAATATCCCAGTATTGTTTATTTTAAAAACGTCAGGTTCCTAGGTGTCACTCTGTATAAAATATTAAAATGGTTTTTTTGTATCTTCTACACAAAACCTTTTATACGCAAATACACTCATAAAATACCACGGAATTTTTACATATGTAGGTATAAAAAATAGATAATAAATAAAAACATGTCAAAATAAAAATAAAAGCCCATTTTATACACGGTTATAAAACCGATATAAAAGGTGTTTTTGTATTGAACAACAAACAGTTTTGCCACGTGTGATCCTTGATGAATTTTATTGGTGAGGATACACACAATATCGTAAATTTGTCCTGTCCGATGTTTTATGGATTACCCTTTAATTAATTTTTGTACTTATCGTGAATTTCAGTTTGTTTAGGCTTTCGTTGAACTTTAAATGAGTTTACGTTATTAAATTTTGTATTGGTTCAAGTTAAAAATGTTTAGTTTATTTTAAAAAAGTTTTGCTCCGGGCAAATTTAATTAACTCTTAGGTCGCGAAATTTTACTAAAAAGTGTGTAACATGTTTAAAGTTATGGTTTCAAACTGTTTTACAAAAAACATTAATAAAAAGTTGAAGTCCAACTTTTTAAATTTTAAAGCGTGTTAGTTAAATTTTATGATTTTTACCTTTTTACGCAAACAAACAAAACAAACTTTTAAATTAATAGTTACAATTTTGTTGTTTGTTAAGACTTGTTCCTTTAATATTTGATAGAAAATTTAAGTTAAACCTTTTTTAATTCAAAGGTTCCTGATATTTTAAATACACGGGCCGCTTAATAAATCCTTTTTTCCTACAAACGTCAGAAAGTATAATTTTAAACAAAACACATCAAATGAATGAAAAAATATTACACTGTTTAAAATATCTGTGGTGTAAAAAGTAATCTTAAAATGGTGTCTAAATCCAACACCAAGTGGTGTTAATATAAACACCATGAATTATGGTTGAAAATGTTATATACAGCAAACACCAAAACGGTGTTTATCTAAAAATATTTGAGAAGTGCACCTACACAGAAAAAAAGAATAGTTAATTTAACAATATTAATTTAGTTGACCCATAAGTATTTATTTAAATTAACTGTGGGAAGGTTAATATAAACAAAGATTAGTTTGACGGTACTGAAACAGGTAGTTATTTTTTTTTAATAAGTTAAATTAACCCAGAAAACTTTAGTGAAACCAACCCTCTGTATGGTTCAGTTTACTAAATATGTTTTTTGTAAAATAAGAGTAACTTCAACATAAAGCACTCTGTTAAAACGATTAAAACAATTTGCCGTGCATTCCTGGTTGCATAGTATGTACCGATCGCGGCAAAGGCGGTGTAGATCACGTCATCAGGTGATCAATATGTTTATATTAACACCACTTGGTGTTGGATTTTGACACCATTTTAAGATTACTCTATACACTCTATACACTATAGGTGAATAATATGTAAAAGCCATGTTTTCGTATATTAAACATTGAAAATAATTAAATTAATTAATTGAAATCTAAAAACACCCAAACAATATAAACAATAATGGCTTTTATTTACTATGATCCCACGGTAATAAATTTAATCAATTACGTGTGGTTTGTGTTCTATAGGTTAAACCCCTAATAATTTAGTTTATTTTTTACAGAATCAACACAAAACGTGTGTTAAAATTTTATTAAGATACATTAAGTAGTTAAAAATAATGTAATTCACTTTTACAAGAATTTGATTTTTTACTGAGCCTATTAAATTATAATTGTACAGGATCAACATTTATACCACAAAAATATGATGTTACAATTTAATATTTAAATCTATATTAGTTTTTATTTTAATTTAATTTTGACATAAAAAATCGTAGGCTCATTTGGGAAATTACGTACGCTTCTCTGCACGTCAATTTCGCCAATAACCTTACTATTTATTTAAACACAAACCTCAAAATGCCAAATTAATTTGTAGTAAGAAAATTAAATTATAATTATATAGAGTCTTTTAGGTATTAAATTGACTTAGTTAAAGAAATAGATTTCTCAAAAAACTTATTATTTAAGGTTCTTTAAATATTAAAATTACTTAAACCATCACTTTATAAGCTCCCAAAGAATAAACAAGTTTGTTAAATCTACCGGAAAAATCATTAAACTTGATAAATATGGTATGCTCCCTAAAGCATAACCTAATTAAAAACCCCTTGTTGCAACTAATTCAAACACCGCACGAATAACAACAACTGGTAGTTTGTATATTAAAGCGCGCAACAATGCTGCACATTACTTACACGGTATTGTATAAACAATTAAATCGCTAGCATTCCGCTCAAACAATTTTAATAGGAAAGATGCCAGCTTCAAGTTTCACATACTATCGACCTAGGTAATCTATTGTTTGGGAAAACTATTGCCGAGAACAATGAAAATTATAATATCTGATTATTATAGTAGCTATTCAATATAGCTAGACGATGTTGAGGGTTCATACAATTTATAAACGGTTACAAATTTTCATTTCTCTGTGTAGTTATTTTTAAACTAAAAACTATATAAAGCACTAAGACCAATACATAATGATTTAATTTAAAAGCAATTTTAAAAATACATGTAAGAAAAGTGTCCAAATTTACTCTTTATTTTCCCACTGTCCCATTTAAAACCATTTAATTTCATTGCCGGATAAAGGTTTTAAAAGTTGCGATATCACGAATAAAAAATGTATAAAGGGTTTACATTTGTTTTAATAAAAATGTTGAATAAATTTTAGGAGGCTAAGCAATGACGTCCATTGTGAATAATTAAGAGCAGAGCTCTTTGCATAAGTGCTTTACAACATAGATTACTTTGTTTGCTTAAAGCTGACTCCAAGTACAGGTATATTTGTACGCGCCCTACTTACACTTTAAGTAGGTATATGCCCTAGTTAGTGTTATTAAAACTAATTAAAAATAAAAAGTAAAATAAACTTAATAAAAATAAAATTCTTTGTCTTAGAGCTTTAAGGATAACTTTGCTAGAAACGCCTGTATTTATGTTACTATGTGGCGCAGAATTTTCGTTTTCATTTTCACCCATTAAATTCCCACTTAATAATTTCGTCTGGCGAAGCTTTTAACGGCGCCAGCACGGAAAATTACAAAGATGATAAATACGAATACAAGGCTCACCTCGCCGAGTGGGCCATAGATCAACTGGCCCTGAGCTCGACTCGGAGACACCGGGCTTACTAAATAATCCTTGCACTACATTATGTCCTTGAAACACACCGCACTCATCTCCACCTTGAATTTAACCCGAAGAATATAAAAACTGTATTGTATATTGGGACATCATTTCATTGTATCATTTATATACAACTACAAAGATACAAATTTGTTTGTGACCACTTTTCTTATTATTAATTAATAATGTACAATACCTTGATCAAAAAATATGAAATACACAAACTGAAACAACAACCAACGTTACAATTTTGACAGCTGAGTAATTATGTAGCTTTTGACCCATCATGCGCCGTTAAATAACTTTTGATTCCGCTACGTCATTAGTAATGACGTAATCATTACTTTTCTTTCCATGAAATGCAAAAATATTTCTTCTGAAACCATAAGCAACTTTTTTAAGTTAAAGTTTTGTACAAGGCTGTTGGCACGAGCTCAAATTTTTCCTGATATCTGGAAACTGCCAAGGGCTTTTTACCTCACTTTTTACGAATGTGACTTTCTTTTCGCAAAAACATGCACTAGATCTATACTCAACGGTATACCAGACTAAAATCTATGCCATCCTGATCTACGCCCAAGAGAATCTCCAGACAGGTTACTCGGGTAAACCTATCTACATATGGAGAGACAGTCAAGCATCACTGGGCTCTTTCTCAGAAAGGGTCAACTGCATAAAAACCCCAGAATTACTTAGTGTGCTCAATAATTTCACCCTTGTCTGAGTACCAGCTCATCTAGGTTTCATAGAGCCAGAAATGAGTGTCTAGGAACTGGACACAACCAGTTTCAGAACAATTGACGAGAACAACAATTGTTGTAAGACCTTAAGGCCTTAGACAGTCAAGGGGTTTTATGAAGGGTTCTACAAACTCTCAGCAACAAGATGAATTATAGGTTTTGCAGCGAAGTAGATGAAACTACCCTAGTCAATAACATACCAAGACACCTCGAGGAAAGGGTCATTCTTTCAACAAAAATATTCACAACTTTACACATAATGACGCATTTGGATCTGACGTATTTCGAATTGCTTTTCATGTGATTCCTACCTTGCAAAGCAGCCCACTTGATAATATCTTCATGCCTAGCATAAACATTCGTGCCGGCTTCGGCGCATAGATCGGGAATGTAAGGCGAAATCATTCCCGAGTGCTGCACGAAGACCACGTAGTCCATGGTCCTGTTGGTCCTGCCTAAATCCTCCTCCGGGGTCCTGATTGTTCCGGGATTCTTCTGCCGCAGCTTGGACATCGCGTCCGAAGATATGAACGAGTCTTTGGGAAAATGGAAGATGAAGCACATCACTTGATACTGGCTTTGACCTCGCTCCTCCTCGCCCAGAATCAAGGATTTCAGTACTTGTACTTCCTGCAACAAAGACAAAGGATAAGTAAATAAAGTCTGTGACATAATTTCAATACCAAAAGAAAGTTAAGTTTTAGCCGAGGGGTCAACCACCCATTTCTATTGTATTCCTATGGTATTCCCCCTCTAAAATGTCCAGGGATTCCCAGGTGTGGGTGACCCCTTGGTTTTAGCACTCTATACAAATATACATATACATTGCACGCAAACTATCTTTCGGTTAGCTCCTGTAGCTCTTAAAAATCGCATATTGTAACCAAACTATATAAATTGATTTATAATAAATATATAATCAGGCCAATTCACTAACATAAGTCATTAACGTTAGCCACTAGAATTAGTGGTTATCGTTATATTTAATCGACCTGATTGGCCGGTTTGGCAGATAACCACTGATTCTAGTGGCTAACGTTAACCACTTATGTTAGTGAATTGGCCTGAATGTTATATTATTTAATGTACCCAAAAATTCATGGTTATTAAATTTATTTTCGAACAATAAATGAAAATATTACAAAGGATAAATTTAAGAGAAGTGACGTCCGAAAGGGACAATGACACGCGAACATTCTGAACATGAAATATGAAACACATCGCTTTATATTGGCCAGGATGAAGGATTTTAAAACGCGGTAGAGTAAAAGGATATGAATAAGATGAACGAGCGTATTGGATACGTTTTTTACTCACTCATTACAAAAAAAATCCTTCTAAAAATGTATTATCGGGTGCAAGAAAACTGTGCATGTTTTAAAAACAAAACTTGCAAAATTTCCAACATTTACTCTACAAATCATTTTTATAGCTATATTATTCTATAAACGATCTCATAGATTACGTGTCGTCAGTTATTAAATTGTAAAGTTAACTCCATTTTATACCACTTATGGAAATTATGTTTTTTTTAAACTGCAACTCAATTGATTTTTTATTTATGAGTGAAAATTTAAAGAAAATATTTTTATATATCTTCAGAGCAAATAAAGTAGGATTATTCTAGTTAATATTTACAGACATTTTCTTTTGAGAAAAAGGTTACATAGGAAGTTAATTTTACTAAAAAAATATACTTTTTAGTAACAATAAACAAAAAAGCGTTATGAGTAAACTTTTATAGACACTCATTTAATTAAATGCTTACTCGCAAGCTCGCTAGTGCCCAATTTAAATTCATCACTAAAATGGCGTTCATCAAACTTGATATATAGTATACTATTATATTTTTTCCCAACAATTTATATGACAATGTTTAAATAATACATTTATAATATAACAATCCATTTTAATAAAAAGTTACTGATAAAAATAATACAACCAAATATTTACTTTTGACAGGGAAATTTCCCTTAATTCTAACAGGGTAATTTTTCTCCTACAAAGTAGAAGTTAAAATTATGATTGATTATTGGGCAGTGGTCATTTTGTTTTTGGTAAACATAAAATCCTCTATTTATTCTGTGAATAATTAAAATTTGCATATAGTTCATTAACTTAGAATGTGAAAGCCACAAAGTCTAAAATGATTTATACTAAACGTGACTTTGACAAATTATAACTCGAATCACGACGAAAATAAATATATTAAATTACTAATATTTTTCTTTAAAATTGCCTCATCTGAATGCTTTAGTCAGTATGCACAATTTATGGTCTTTTTACACGATATAATAAATTTAGTGACAATCAATTAACATTTAAACCTAGCCACCCCGTTAAAAGTATTTGGCTATAGTTGCGTTTATCAATTTTGAAAAAATATGATACAATTTGTTCGTGTTAGATTACTTAATTAATTAAATTTTTACACTCGCTATAGTCGACCCTTCCCTGAATATTATCATGATTACCTTTATAATTACCTACAAAAAAATATATTTTCTTATCTCCCTTATTTAAATGAGCCTCTTAAAGCTTAAAACGCTCGTCTTTAATACCCCCGAATTTATTTCTTAAATCTGACACATTTAAGGGTATGTCGACAGGAAGGATCCTTCCTTAAAGGAAAGGAGATAAATGAATTTATTAGCCTGTCCTGATACCTAGTCTTATCTTTTATTTATGTAATTTTGGTTTCTGTCGGTATAAAAGTCTTTATGATTGACAATAAATTTCACGGAACCAAGCCGTCTTAGCCTGTTTAATAGCCGGTTTTAAAGGGGTAACGTAATTGAAATATTGAAGTTTTACTGCAGTACTGGTAGTAATAAAATATTTTATCTAAACTTATGCATTTCATTTCTATATTAAATTCACCATAAGCAATTTTAAACTAGGTTTTATTAATAAAATCGGGTTTAAAACGAAAATTTTTTGTTTAAATATCATAATTAACTCTTGAAGGCTTAAATATGGCTTTAATTAAGAAAATTTAAAATACATGGTAATTATATTAATTCCCTCCTAGTTTATAGCACTCCTTGTTAACAGCATTATATTTCAAGTGACTTTTAAGCCTTTGAAGTAACCAGCGCAAATATTTTAGCGCACCGCGGCTAAAGGTTTCATGTGAACCACTAATCCAACGAGAATTACTTGAGACGCGTTCTTAATGAAGCGAAAATGTTTATTTTCCACCTCGACGGCCAATATTTACCAAGCTAACACTGATGACTTCCATTACACTGGTTTACAGTCAAAATGTACCTTGAGTGCGACTATTTTTTTCTGATGTATTTTGGCCTGCTAAACTCGAAAATGACAATAAAAATTTTTTTTATGGCAAGATTTTCCAAATAAAAAATTGTCTTTGATTTTTCGATGCCGGCTTTACTATTTGGGATATATCTCGAGTTTGAAATGGCCAATTTGATTACAACAGATGTCAAATTAAACCTAATTAACATAATAACAAATGTAATTGTATAAATGCCCAATTAGTCAATAAGTTTAGGTGCAATGGGGCCAAATATCAAGAAAAAGTCAATTTTTTGGACAAAATTGGAATTAAGTATTTACTATTTTACCAAAAAGAAGCAAAAATCATTAAAATATGGCCTTTTTTAAAATATCTACAAGTAGTAATTCTATGGATAAATGTCAAAGTTATGACAGTTTATGTACAGGTACGTTGTGATATCTTCTTTTTAAAGTGTTTCGTATTACAAAATACCGCCCGCCTAACGTTGGCTAACGGAGGGTTCAGATGCAAGTCGGCACGGGTTCCCGTTTATAGAATGAGCTGAAATTTTTACTGGGAGTATATAAACACGTAATAAATATAATTAGAGGGTATGCGTAAAAAAAATAAAAATAAGGGACACCCTAATGTATATATATATATATATATATTTTATCCCTTAGGTGTAAATATGTCTCTGAAGATTCATTTCTTACATTCCCACTTACATTTTTTTCCCAAAAATCTTGGTGACCTGAGTGATGAGCATGGTGAAAGGTTTCATCAAGAAATAAAATCCATGGAGCGGCGCTATCAGGGCTTTTGGAATGAAAGAATGATGGGGGATTATATTTGGTTCCTTGTAAGGGAATCAGATAACGAAAACAGAAGGCAATCTAAAAACCTAAATTATTTTTAATTTACAATAGTATTGTATATTAAATTATATTATAATGATATATAGAGTGTTCCATTTAAAATGAAACATCCTGAATTTTTCGGAAACTAAAAGAATTTTGAAAACTCACGAGACACATAAAGTTTTATATCGAGGGAGATTTTGCCGTTAATGCTATTAATGCCAAAATTTGGTTTCCCACCCTTATCCTCTATTCCCAGGAGCTTTTCCCTTAATAATTTGTACATATCTAAAAAATGAACTGACCAATTTAAAAAAAATAAAATGCCGTTTAATAGGGATTTTCAAGACCTTTAAAATAATGTAGTACTCTGTACCCCTTCTCTATTTAAATTCTTAAGGGGGTAACTCCGGGGCGCAGAAGGTAAAGGTGGGAAACCAAATTTTGCCTTAAAAAGTTTTCCCCCTCGATATAAAACTTTACCTCTCTCTGCGTTTTTTAAAATACTTCTATAGTTTCCGAGAATTTAGGGGGGTTAGTTTTAAAAGGAACACACTGTATATTAATATTAAAATATAAAATAAAATTTATTTAACAGTAAAAAGGTTCTAATAGGCAAATAGAACCTTTTTTTTTTAAAAACTTAATTTCGGAAAAAAATTTACCTGTCCACTTTTTGCATTAACCCCTTTAATTATAATAATTATCAATAGATTTGTTTTAAAAATATCTTGTTTTCTTTATAACAGTTTGAACTCCACGTAGATAATTTAAAAATTGACATATTTTGTTGATTTGTATTCATCCTTGGCAAAGAAAATAATGTTACATTCTCATTTTTCTCCAAAAAAAACGACTTTTTCCAATATTTGAGCCCATTGAACTTAAGCTTATTAACTGATTGGGTACTAATAAGGTGATATTTGTTGGCGACTCAAATATGTTTAATTTTAAACTTTTTTCAACCAGATTGGCCATTTTTAACCCGAGATATGACCCAAATTGTAAAGCTGCTTTCTTAAAGAATCAAAATATTAAAGAAAAAAATTTATCTCAAAAACCTTGCCATAAAATTTTGTTTTTTTGTGATTTTTAAGTTTAACAGGTCACAATACATTAGAAAAAAATAGTGGCAGCGAAGGTACATTTTTTTAATTTTAATTTGTAAACCAGTGTTATTAACTACTGTTGTTGAAAGATTTAAAAGTTTATAAAATACATTAAAAAATACATCTTATTAGTATATTATGTATCAAGTTTTATAAACGCCATTTTAGTCACGATGTTTAATCAGGCAAGAGCGAGTGTTTAATAAAATGAGTGTCGCAATCTATGAAACAATAAGGGAATCTGTGTGTCGCCGTCAAACTGTCAAATTTTTATATTTTATAAACACAATTATAAAGGTTATAAATCAAAATGTATTTCTTGAAAATTGACAGTTTTCGCAGTGAAAGTAAAGAAAATGTTTTATGAGCACTTTACAGTGGAGTCCGTGCCCGAATTTAAGTTATAGTTTACTGCCG